ATTGCCCAGCCTGAGAGCTCCTCGCGCCCTCTCTTCTAGAAGCCGTGGCTCAGACCCCATCACCGGAACTGTCACAAAACGCGCAGCGTCTCAGACTTCATCCTCCTTGCAAAGCAACAAGCTAGGTGCGCCGTTGACGAGGGGACCAAAGGCAGGAAACAATGCAGTTTAAATTAAATTCCTCACAGCCTGCGGCCCAGGGACGCGCCCGGACCCGCAGCCTGTAAGTCCCCAGGGCCTGTCTGCAGCCTTACTGCTTCCTTGCGAACTAAAAGTAACCTTGTCTTGACAGCAGCTGAATCTTCAGGGTCCTGTGAGACCCTGCTCCAGAAATTCCTTGGGACACTTGCGGTATCTATGCCCCCCCTCCCTCCACAGGCTTGAAGGCACGTCACCAGCGGTCCTCACAGCCCGGGGCGCTCTCCCCGCCCGCGGCTCCTGTGTCCGGGCTTTAACAAAACCACCTTTTGGCAGAGTCTCCAGAACTCTCTCCTGGCCGCTGGCTCGCGAACCCGCCGCAGACTCCATCATCGTGAACGCAGGTAGCGTTACAGCAAACAGCGGGCGCCCAGGAAGAGGCAAGCCACGCGCCCTGGGGGAATCAGAAAAGACGGTTTACTGGGTTTACTGCGCCCCGGTGGTGCCCGGCGGAGTCGCCTCCAGAGGCTGAGCCCCGCCCCTTGGCCTTGGCCTCCTCTCAGGGCCGGGAGGGCGGGGGGGTGAGACGGAAGACACAGGGCACGGGGCCTTACCAGCAGGCTGCGCGGGAGCTGGTGGAGGAGGCAGGGCGCAAAGATCGCCGAAGCCTCAAGTGCGCAGGGGGCCTGTCCAGCCCCGGGCACCTGCCTGGCTTCCCTTTTATCTTGCGTCTACCAGCTCCCTCCTCAGCAGAGGGCAGGAGGCCGCTGAGGCAGGGACCAGAGCTTCATGCTTGTTCGCACTGACACCCCCCCCCCCCCACGCCCTGCGAGCCCCACAGGTGACGCCTGCCGAGGCGCCGCAGCTGGAAATGACTTTGGGAGTCGGAGCCTTGCATTCCCGCCACGTCCTGGGCGCCCCAGGGGGGCCTCCCCGGCGCGCTTCGTCCTCTAAATCTTACAAATGACATAGATCTGCAAGGTGGCTGGCCCAGAGTCAGGGACATTAAGTGTCCAAATAGCGATCCGAGTCTACTGGGATTGGCCAGTAACGAGGGGCAAACGCCCGTCTCCCTTTTCTGCTACCAGCGGGCATCAGGTATTTGGGGAGGGACGAGCCTCTTTCCGTCCCAATGAGCCTCATTCAAAATTCCTCAGGACTTTTCCCGACCCTGCAAGTCACCGATTGTACCTGTAATACACTTACTCCTCCAGAACTGAAGGAAGCCGCCTTCCTCGTCCCAGGAATTAGTTGATCATCGGACTGAGTCCCACCAACTCTTCATTTTCTAGGCGGACAGATACTCCCGCAGCCACGCAGTGCTGATGTCCCCCCGTTCCCTCTTCAGCCTCCTCGCTTGTCACTCACGAGGATTTACTCTGTCTGCATACTAATGACTCACAAATCTGTATAAAAGGCCTGGCACTGCCTGGTCTTCAGACACTTATTACCTGTATGTCTGCTGGGTCATCCCATTGGGATGTCCTGAGAAATTTATGTTTAGGGGCATCTGGGTGGCTCAGCTGGTTGAGTGTCCAACTTTGGCTCAGGTCATGATCTCAGCGTTCATGGGTTCAAGCCCGACTTCGAGCTCTGTGCTGACAGCTCGGAGCCTGGAGCTGCTTCCGATTCTGTGTCTCCCTCTCTCTCTGCTCCTCCCCTACTTGCGCTCCATCTCTCTCAATAATAAACATTTAAAAAAATTAAAACTAAAAAAATAAAATTACGTTTAACATGCCTCACTAGAATTATTTCCTTTTCTTCTCCTCCGGTGCTGCCTTCATTATTCCCCTCCTGGCTCCTGTTCCATTTATGGGGCCATTTCCCACCAAGTGGAGACGGACTAAGACACCCGAGACTCCTCTGCAGAGTTCCTTTTCCCAGTAAATGTCCGAAGAATTTTTCCTCCACAAAAATGTTTAGAATTTCAAATCGCTTGAATCCGTGTTGTCGCCCTTTGCCTGAAGCATCCGGAAAGCGACATCGTTACTTACTGCTCCCGATTCCATTCTCCCGCCGCCATCTACCCAAAGTCTAATATCGCTCCTGCTTCGTTCCTCCTTAGTGGCCTTTTAGAGACGCATTCCATTGCCAGATGCACATTTTCCAGTACGCTCAACGTGGGTCTCTACCACAAGCCTCTAGTTTCATCTCTGCTCACCCTTTCCTGGACGATCAGGGCCTTCATGACGCAAACTGCCTGTACTTCTGACTCTACTGCGTTGCTCACACTATTTCTTTACCTGGAATTTTGGTCACCATGTTCATTATGAAAACATCCTGAATCTTTTTTCTTTCCATTTCCACTCAGAAATCCTCTTTGATTTTCTAGGCAGAAACAACTCTCCCCCATTCATCTATATGATGTTATAATACGCAATTCATATATTCATTATAAATAGGTGTGTATACACACGCACAAATATTTGAGAGTAAAACTGTATATCTGCGTTTGCTGTCCTAACGAGACTCGGTTCCCAGAAAACAGGATATAAAAATAAATATAACCAATATAAATAACTATGAAGAACAAATATAACAAGTAAACATAAACACATTTCTATTTCTGCGTCTTACCTCTTGCCCAGTGTCTAGCCCCAGAGAATGTACCCAATGATGTTTGTTAGGAACTGTTGCGGGTTAAATAGCACTGGGCTGGGTGGATTCTCGAGGTAAGATGTGACCATCATTTGTATTTCATTGGCAAGTACCCTCACCATCAAAATAGGTACTGGTATTAGCCGAGATTAAGTAAAGACTCCTCTTCTACTTTAATTGCTAATAACCTTTTGGCTCACAGATCACCTTAAACATATGATGAATGTAGCAAATGCTTTAACCAGTAAACCAACCTCTGAATACACATACCGAATTTTGTGTGAAATTCCAGGAAGTTCGTAGAGCTCTTTGCCCTCCCTCCTTGCTAAGCCTTTCCAAGGCTTTCCATCTTGAGGTGTCCAGTAGGCGTGGGATCGGCGTAAGGATCAGTACCCAAGGATGGGACGCATGTGCACGGATGAAGAGTCCTGAAAGAAGGCTTAAAACTGATCCAGGGGGTCCTCTTTCAACTATTGGCGGAGACAGCTGGTGGGGACACGGTAAGAGAAGTGTGGGGCTGCTTACCTTGAGGGCCTCCCTCGGTGTCGTCAGTCACCGGCGCTCCAGAAGGTGATCGTGAGTTCACAGGTGCTCCGCGGGTGTCCACCAACGGCCAGAGTTAGTGGTGTTGACTGGGGTAGAGAATTAAGAGGCAAAAGCCCTAATCCTCTGAGAAGAAACAGTGGCCTAATGAGGAGAGTTTAGTGGTGGTTTACAGGACAACCCTGTAGGGAAGGGAGATAATCCAAATGTGCAGATTTATGGGGACAGATCAGACCTTCCTCGTCTCCCTTGGGGCCATTCCTTCCTGCTCTTCTGTTCCACTGATTACATCCCACCAAGTATGCCCACCTTTAGTGAATCTTTCCCAGCATATAAACATATTAAATATCCCATTAACAACCTGCAACAAAAACGATAAAAATAACAACAGCCAAATAACGAACTCCCAAAACAGAGCATCGTGACTATAATCTTCTTCTAGCTTTTATCCAATCTTTTCATTCACAACCAAAATTCTGTAAGGATTAACATGAAGCCTAAATTTCCACATTTGCCCTTTCACTTTCCACCCCCCCTAAATCTACTGCAATTCATATGAATTACCCTGAAACCCATCATGGGGACATCACCAATGGGCCTTCAGTTGACCGATTTTATTCTTCCAGCAAGTTTTCAGTTGGGTGTCTAGGATGCCATTCTATAAAAATTGAGATACCTTTGGCTTTAAATTTCAGAAAATTCAATGAAGGAACTTATAAGGAAAACATGTTATCTCCCATAACTTTGCCACATCCCTTAATAGGGAGGCCCCAATATCTAGAGTCTCCGCGGTTCATTAATCATCATAAACCATCAAAGGCACTGTTCACTTCATGTTGTTTTTGTGTGTTCAAACTTAACGCTTCTCAAGGTTTTGTGTGGGTGCGCACGTGTGTACGTGTGTGTGGCGAGACACACCACACAAGCCACTGTCCACCTAAAGCAGGGAGGCTGTTCCTCCCCATGCATCTTTCTTTGAGAGCCTGAAAACCTTTCCCAGAAACCTTTACGCAGCCCCTCCTAACACAGGTCACAGAGCCCCCACCTATATAATGAATCAAAACCGTGGGAGCAAAGACCCCATTTTCCTTGGGATTTCTCAATAGTTAGATCCTATTTGGCCTGAGTCCCATGCCCACCCGTAAGTGCCTCAGCCTCACTGGGGAACAGATCAGAGGGATGGGCCTGGACTAATCAGGATTTTCTTGATTCATGTAGAAAAGGGATGGAAAGAGTTCTGCCAGCATGCAGGGTGGTGCTTGCCGGGCAGATGCTCACTAACTAAAGGGCCTGCTTATCCTTCACTACTTTTTTAAATTTATTTTTTAGAGAGACAGAGTGTGAGTGGGGGAGGGGCAGAGAGAGGGGGGGATACAGACTCCGAAGCAGCTCCAGGCTCTGACTGTGGGCGCGAACTCACTAACCGTGAGACCACGACCCGAGCGGAAGTCCCACACTTAATCGACTGGGACACTTGCTCAGGCCCCTCTCCAGCCCTTTTCTTCCTCCAAGCTCTTCTCTCGCCACTTTTAAATCTATTTTCCACCACAGATCCTCTCCCCGTGTTTGGACCCACATCCGCTTGGGCGGATACGACAGCAAATCCTAACTGACCACCCCCCCCCCCCGCCTGCAAACACACACGACACCCGCTCCTCCACACTCCCGTGAGGACACAGACGCTCACACTCACACAATGACGCGCACGCAGACAGATGTATTCGTTCCAAAACTTTACTTCGGTTTAGCTGTGGCTTCCCTTAGCGTGACGCCGCCTGTGGAGCCTGGGCGGCAGAAGCACACGGGCACCGCCGTCACACACGGACACGGGCAGGACACCGACACGGCACGACGGCCACGGCCACACCGGGCGCGCGCCGTCCGGTCGGCTCACTTGTAGGTCTTCATGTGCCACAGCCCGTCGTTGAGGTAGTGGATGTTCTCGATGCCGATGCCTTTGTTGACTTTCTCAATGTCCTCCGCGGACATCTTCATGACCCCGACGCACAGCGCGTGCTGCTTCCCCTCGGCCATGATCGCCACAACCGTGTCGACGGCGGCCGGGTAGAGCTTGGCTCCGGGAGACGTCAGGCCTGGGCACATGATGTTGGCGCCACTGAGCACAAATTTGATGGCTCCTTTATCGACCTGCTGGTGCGGCAGGATGAACGGGTATTTGTGCAGCAGCCTCAGGGTCGGATAAAAGGGGCCTTCTCTTTGTCTAAAGAACAGTAACTCTCCGTTTACCGTGAGGATCTCTATGTGTTCGTGGCACCGCACTATTTTGACCGGATCCTTCTTAGGCAAGATCTGATTAAGCCACGGTTCGATACCTGGAAACTGCTCTATCAACTGGTTCTTAATGCCCTTAATCACCGAGGTTTTCAACTGGATGCAGTTCGACACATTTTCTTTCTCGTCAAATTTCTTGAACATGATCCAAGGCGAAGGGGGCGGCGACACGAACAGCCCCGAGCTGGGAAAACCGTGAAACGCCGAGGCTCCGGCACAGGCGCTTTCCGGGGGAAGGCGGGCAGGGACGGCGGCGGCGGCGGCGGCGGCGGCGGCGGCTGTCGTTAACGGGAAGTGAGCGCGCTTTACGGCTCCGCGTGAACCCGGCTTCCGCCCCCTCGGAACGCGGCGCGCCGGCGCGGGCGGGCCTGCGGCCGCGGATTGGTCTCCCCGGGCGGGTGCGTGAAGGGGCGGGACTTGAGGAAGGGGAGGGGCGGCGTTCCCGTGGCCGGAAGCGAGGAAGCGGAGGGCACGGTGGTTTCTGGTTTTGTTGTCGGCAAGCGGAATCGTGGTGCCTGCAGGGACCCGGGCCGCGGCACGAGGAAGCGCGGTCGCCGCTGGGAGCCGAGTCCCTTGGGTGCTCCCGGCCGCCCTCGCTCACACTTCCTTCTCCCCGCCGCCCTGACACGGTCATCGCGGACCCCTGAATGCAGCCCCTCCCTTCCGAGTCCTCTGCGTCCGCACCGGAGAGGCGAGGCTTCCCGCGGGGAGGAATGCGCATCTCGTAGGATTTCAGTCCTTCCCAAGATACTTAGGGCCGGGACGTGGAGCCTCCTGGCCAGGGGCACACGCGCCCCTGTAAGCCACGTGCGTCCTGCTTTGGGAGCAGGGCCACCTCGCGCCGCCGCTATTTGACCTGAAACTGTCTATCCGAGGAATATCCAAGGTGTTGTTTTTTTTTAATAAAGTTATTTTTGAAAAGGGACACTATAAAAGTTTACTCTCAAATTCCATAGCAATGAAAAACCTTTTTGAAGTTAATAATCATTTTTATCTGAAATCACACTCAGTCTGTACACTGTGACTCTTTCCCAGGGTGCACTTGATCTTGGCCAACTAACTTTGCTATCTGCCATGAAAAGGAGGCTAAACACTACTTTCACCTTAAATTCTTAAACAGTTAAAGAAGTTAAAAGTTAGAAAATGGAAAACCTCTATCCTAAGACTTTAAAATCTACGCTTCTCAAAAATCAAGGAGCCTGGTTCCTAAACTTTATAGAGGAGTCTAGGTCTTTGAGGCTGACTCAAAGAGTCATGGGAAAAAACATGATACACAAATGTTTTCACAAGTGAGCAGGTTAAAACTTTGAAATGTATTACCAATTTATTCTCATAAGTAATTTAAAATCAACTCAAAATTAATTAACTGGATTTTTTTATAAAGGAGGAGGGGCGCCTGGGAGGCTCAGTCAGTTAAGCATCTGACTTGATTTTGGCTCAGGTCACGATCTCACAGTTTGTGAGTTGGAGCCCCGCGTTGGGCTCAGCTCTGAAAGCACGGCGCCTGCTTTGATTCCCTCTCTCCCTCACTCTGCCACTACCCTGCTCTCTCTCTCTCTCTCTCAACATAAATAAATAAACTTAAAGGGCATTTTAAAAACCGGAGGAAAGTTACAGAGCAGAAGCTGAAGTCAGACTTCCAGGCCCAGGACGTACTACCTCCTAAGTTCTGTCCACCTCGCTCAGTGTCACTTTATTTCCATGAAATCTGAAAAATCACAGTATACACTTCAAAAGGTGAGGCGTGGCTACGAGGAATAAAGAAATACACTATATAAAGGACTTATCTAAGAGTAAGAGAGTAAATACATTTACAAGTGTCTCATTTATTTATTTGCATAACACCCTTCGTGTGGTACTAATGAGGTCTAAGATTATAGCGTACACATAAAAAATGTACAGGAAATTTCTGTAGCTTGGGATAAAGGTGCTGTCAAACAGTCAAGAGATGCCAGAACTCAGTTTTGTATCAGGAATCTCAAGGGACTTTGTGCAACACAGTGGTGATGTTGCAGAACTAAAGTGAGGAGACTGAACGAGGAAATGCCTCAGGCTCCTCGCATCTTCAAAATTTGGGGTGCAGTTCACCCACCTGGGTTGTCCTAAAGGCAAACCTTCACCTTCCTGCAGCTTGGTCTGCATTTTGAGGCATGGCCACTAGAGGGCAGGAGAACCAAAGTGAAGCCCCCAGGCAGGGCTCCAAGATTGGTACCCTGTGTATTGGGGGGAACGTTCTCAACCAACAGGGAACTATCTTTTACCATACGCTGCTGTTTCCGAAATAACTAAATGCATCTCCACAAAGTACAAAACATTTCCCAAGTTCAGGCAAAGCATATTTTAAATAGTCCGCTACTTGATTTACAATCTGAATGTTTTCTCTATATTTATCTGTAATCAACAGTAAAGCGATTATTTCTATTGATGATGTCTATTAAAAAGCCTATATTAACACCACATTATTGGCCCTTCTCAAAGAAATACAAACTTCCGGTTATAAAATAAGTAAATCACGGAGATGAAAAGCAGCATAGGGAATATACTCAATAATATTGTGATAACGTTTGGTGACAGATGGTGACTGCCCTTAATCGTGGTGAGCACTGGGGGATGTGCTCAGAACTGCTGAGTCCTGTCGTACCCTGGAAACTAATATCACGCTGTATGTTAACTACGCTTCAATTTAAAAAGTACCTCTTTGGGGGCACCTAGGTGGCCCAGTCGGTTAGGCATCCAACTTCTGCTCAGGTCATGATTGCTCTGTTCATGAGTTCCAGCCCGAGCCCTGTGACCTGCTCTGTGCTGACAGCTGGGAGCCTGGAGCGTGCCTGAGATTCTCTCTCTCTCTCTCTCTCTCTCTCTCTCTCTCTGCCCCTCCCCCACCCCCAAAAAATTACCATTAAAGGGACACCTGGGTGGCTCAGTCAGTTAAGCGCCGGACTTGAGCTCAGGTCATGATCTCGCGGTTGTTGGGTTTGAGCCCCGCATTGGGCTCTGTGCTAGTAGTGTGGTAGGAACCCCTCCCTAAGGAGAAAGAAAAAATTGAAGAAGAGAGAAGAGAAGACTTCAAGGTCACCTAGATATGAGTACAGCTGCCTACACCCCCCATGTTCCTGTAAACTGAAACAACTTAATCAGATTGCATGTTTATGTGTATTACCATATATGGGAGACAAAGAGATAGAAAATGCATAAAAAAAACCTATGCCATATGATGTGGGCCGCTCAGTACTTTTGGGTACGAACCCAACTGAGCGGTGCCGGCAAAATAAAGTTGCTTCCTGGAAAGAAAAGTCTCGGTGTCACGACTCTCTGAGCGAGAATCCTGCAACAGTAGCTCTGAGCCTGGAGCCTGCTTCGGATTCTGTGTTTCTGTCTCTCTCTGCCCCTCCCCTGCTCAGGCTCTGTGTCTCTGTCAAAAATAAATTAAAAAATAATAAGTTTAAAAACATTAAAAAATTTTTAAACCATTAAAATTTTTAAATAAGTTCAATAAAATATGAATACCTCTTTCCACATTGCTTCAATGTATGAACAATGTTTGAAAATTAAAAAGTTACCGTGTGTTGTAATCTCACGATACCCAAAATGTCTTTACTTTAATTGCGTGTGTCACCTCACTGCTCCCTCCCCCCCCCCCCACTCGCCCTTAACGCAAGTGTCTCGTTTACTCCCGGATCAGCACACAGCCTTGGTGGGAGGTGTGCTCCCTGGGGGCGAGCAGAGGAGAGGGCCCCACATCGGGGAGGTGAGCAGAGGCCCCCTCCTAGGGCAATCTTAGGGGCTCCCACTTCTAAGCAAACCCCACAGAAAGGTTGAGCCCTGGCCTGGGTGGCCTGAACTTCCCTGCTTCCCTAAACTTCTGACCACCTAGTGTGCCCCCGGCCAGTCCCTGCCTCTCCTGGCCTCAGTTTCCCCATTGTCCCGGGAGGGCTGGCCACAGACCTGCAGGTGGATGCGGACGGAGCTCCCAGCCCCTCGGCGGGTTTGGTGAGGTGCGCTGTGAGGTGCATAGGGCCTTCTTCCCGCATGTGCGGACCGCGCTGGGCAGCCGAGCCCCGCGCCCGCAGCTGGGCCCGCGCATGTGCCCGCGGGTAGCGCGTGCACGAGAGCCCGCCTCGCCGCGCGGGCATCAGAATGCCAGCCCGACCGGTAGGCACGTCCCTGCTGGCTGCGGTTGTGAGGCCTCAGCACCCTGCAACCCCGCGCCCCGGCCACCCCACTCCAGCCAGGCAGGCCGGGGACGGGGTCATGGGAGTCGTGGACTACCTCCTACCCCGCTGTGCTGGCCCCCAGACTCCGCCCGGGGGCAGCTTGCTCCGTGGCTGCGTCGGGAAGCCCGAGCCTGGGCAGGGAGGTCCGTCCACCCTTCCCCCTCTTCCTCTGCCTTCCTGTCCAGTGTTCCTGGAGGCCCCGGGACACAAGGGGCGGCCCACCCGCCCTGGCTCAGGAGGGGACCCACGTGATGGTTAGCAGGGGCCCCTTCCTGGGCACTCCGTGTCTTCACCCCGTTTTAGATGAGCAGTGGCACCGGCGCTCAAGGTCCCTCGAGGGATGAAGCCCAGCAGAACTGAGGCTCTGAGAAGTCACACACACGCTCACCTGCCACAGGGCTGGGACGTGGTCAGTCTGACCCCACAGGTGTGCCGTGCACGGGAGCCTGAGGAGGCGGCCCCTGAGCCCAGCCTTGGCCGTGAGTCCGTCGTGGATGGTGGGCCCCGGAGAGGGGCAGTGCAGGCGGGGGGTGGGGGGGGGGCACGGGAGCAAGGGCCTGGCGGGACCCTGGGTGAGGAGGGCTCCAGGGAGGCTGGAGTGGGGTGTTAGGGGTACACGTGAGGCCAGACCCCAGGGCTCTGAGTGCCCACCAGTCAGGGGCACTGCAGGTTCGGTCGGGCAGGTGACACAGTCCTGGCCACCTTACCAGAGCCGCAGCATCCCGAGTGGGGGGCCGCTAAGCGGACTTGCTTCAGGCACGGCAGAGCACGGGCCCCCGAGAAGCGCCCTGGGGCCAGGAGACCTCCGTCCGCGTCCCCGTGTGCTCAGGGAGGGCCGGCAGGTGTCTGCCACCTGCGGGGCCAGAGCTGGCTCCCTGTCACAGGAGCCACTCAGGAGAGGTCTGTCCCCACAAGGTCTGGGGCCAAGGCAACTCTCTGCCCATCCAGATGGCCAGGGTGCCCCCGCACTGCTGCTGCTGCGGAGCGCAAGCCGAGGATGGAGCCGGGCGGTCCTCCTGCGGACGAGAGGAGCCAAGGCTGCAGCCGGAGGTGGTGTGGTG